AGATTGATGTTTTAATTTAGATGAAAGGTTAATTTCATATAATATTTTTTTATTATTATAATTTATATAAAAAAGGCTAAACATGACTGAATGGAAGCATAAGAGTAAATAACTATTTCAGATCATTAATATAACTTATATAAAAATTGCTAAACATAACTGAATGGATGCCTGCACTGCTATTTCACTACTGAGTTATCACTAAAGCATAATTTCATCTCGTTGGTTGTTCAAAACATAATTTTCTATAATGAATCATGCCTTTTCTTTGAAAAAATTCTTGGTAAAGTGCAGAATTGCCCACTTATTTGTTTGCCACTTTTTACAAGGGTAAAAACAATTGGATTTTTGTCAATTTTCTTTTACTTTTTAAGTGGAAATAGCTCGATGTGTACATAGATAAAGGGTGGGCATAGCACCATTTTTGTGCAGTTCTGGGAATTGAATTTTTTTTAGTGAAAATAGATCGATGTGTACATGGATACCGAGCATGTGCAATTCTTAAAAACGCGTCAAGCAGCAGGTGACTCTTCACTTTACCCAAAATTCTGTTGCAGACTTTTCATCATGGACAATTTCCAAATTGTTAAATCCATAGGATATCAAAAAAGGGTTTAAAAATTAAATTAGTATTTCAATGGTGCCTTAAGAAATATAGAACTATATAAACTTACGCAATCTGAAATCAGCGCGTGCTCTAGATTTGGCGCACTGTTAAATGAGCGCGTTTGCTAGATTTGGCGCTTTTACGCATACATTTTCGCTGCAATTTTTTTACGGTCCTCAAAATGGAGTAGTACCACAAAATTTACATAGCAAAAACGTAAAGTTTCCAACCAAAAATATTTGACAAGAATCCATGTACATAATGATATGTTTTAACTAAAAAATCTACGAATTGCACATTTAAGGCAGCGAAGGAATCTATTAACTACGCACACCTCACTTCAATAAATTACATAATAACAATAAATTTCAAAGAATACCATGTACACAGCATTCTATTTTAACTTTTAAAAAAAAAAAAATATCTACAAATTGCACAATCTAGGCATTACACACAAATCAACCATATAAACTAAACTAAATTACAAACAATTCAAAAAACAACAATAACAACAGAAATTCATAGTAAAAAAAACAATGAACATAACATTCTACAAAATAAAAGCAGTAAAATAAAATGCACTTACCACAATACATTCTTGAATAAAATTTCGCCAGTCACATAACGTCTCTGAACAAAAGTGCCACAATACACACGTCTTCCGAGATTCAAAACAAAAGTACCACAATACACACGTCTTCTGAGATTCAAAATTTTGAAACTAATGATAAAAACTTCCTCCAAAGTTACCATGCTACACGAAAAACACAATCCAAATCTTAAACTCCGCCGACAGCCACATAAAAGTATGTGGCACAAGAACTAGCAGAAACACCCTTCTTTGCCCGAGTTCTCATAGCAGCTCCACATTCTGGACTCCGTTTTAAAAGTCACACAGAAATTCCAAAAATACACTTCAATCCTCATAAAACACCGGTGAACAAAAGACTCGTTAACAACTCCAACATCGTACCTTTTAATACTAAATTTACTTTCCACATAATCTAAAATACGTGACCGAAATCTTGCCACCCCATCTATCATTGCAACATAAACCATTTCAAAACACGCACAACACGAACCAACAAGCAATTAAACCACTCCAGTAAAAAATTTTTCACTGTCAGCAGCATTGCCATACAACATGCAATCATGCCAAAAATCAGCACAGAACACATATCGCCACATTTGGTGATATTATTAGGGCGCATATAAGAGTAGAGCCCGAATTATTTATTGCCACTGCAAACAGATAGCATCAGTTAAAACCAAGCTGTGGATTAGATAATATTTACAAGGTTTGCTTACAGTTTACCCATTTTATTTTGATATTAAATGTGGATTGTTTGCACATAACTAAATCACATCAATACCTTGACAATTATTGAATTAGCATTTGCTAAATGTTACAAAACTATTACACAAGTTGTTCAGGAAAGAAGTAAGAAAGTATGACACCTTTATCTGAAATCAATGCATTCATTGCAGTTTACATAGCTAGAAAGAAGATCTAAAAACATTTTATTTACTGGGAACACTGGTGTGGAATGGACATAAGCCCATTAAAATTCTTTCTATGGTACTTGTTGGACTTAACCTCAGTAGATTTCTTGGTACTTTGATATTATCGTAACTACCTTGGTAAAAGTCACCAAACTATAGCAACTATGTGCATAACATTCTTCAGGTAACCATATTAAAAACTATAAGTCTGAATAAACAACATTGCCATTTTTTTTACATGTTGTTTTGCTTGCAGTTCTGTAAGGATCTTAAGTTTTACTAACGTTTATTTTATTTTAAATCTTTACTATCACTTCTTATTTTCTACTTCCGGCCAGAATTATAAGCGTGAAGGTTTTATGCAAAGTTTGTCTGGCGAACGCCAAGTACTTAAGTTGTGGCTTTTTGCCAAGCAAGAGAGAGAGGAAGCAGTGAGTTCGAAGCAGGCCGCTTACCTTAGAAGTTACGCAGTTGCTATTTGCCTTCCAGGCCAGAGGTTTTAATCCTCTTGATAAATTAAACGTATTGTAGTGTTCACAGTCTCTGTGCTACATACGCTTCCTGTTATTATAAGGCCAAATCTTCCACGTGTATTGTTCTTATTAAGTTAAATTAGAGTTTAGTTTTATTTTTATACTTTTTTACGTTAGACCCCGAGTGGAGGGTCAGTGTATTCCGAAGTACGGAAGTTATTGTATATAGAGAAAAATAAAGGGTTTTGTATACCCTTCGTCTGTATCCTGTCTACTTACCACAATTAGTGAACATAGCTTTAGTAAGCTCTCTGTTCCGAGTCAGGTCCTTGTATGTTCCCGAAGAAGGTTAGAAGGAACATTGAACCTGATAGTTCTCTCTAGCTCTAAAGGCAAAATATGATATTTTTCATCTTCAGCTGAATTTTGAAATATGCAATTCTGGGATTTGGCTGCAAATGAAGATTTTGGATTACTTAATTATGGCAAAGCATACAAGGGCTATCTGCCTAAAGGGAGGAATGCCTTCATGGAGGTCTTTCTAAGGGAAACTGGCTCGTATACACGTTACACATGGGGAAAACCACGAACACGCCCACGCAGCCAGCCTGTTCGCGGGATTCGAACCTCGGATCGAACTACCAGTGTTCAGCGTCTTTACCGCTCGGCCGCTGGTGGCCCCTGCAAATGAAGAAAGTTCTGTAAAATTTTTGAAGGAATACAATATTTTGCCAAAAGGAGGGAAATTTTCAGATTCACAATTCATGATGTATTTTAGAAAACAACCTTTTTCAAAATGTAATGTAAACATGTATAAGGACTACGTCAGGATTCAAAGCGGTAATTAGTTTGAGAATAGCCGTCTGCTATTTACTACAGCAGTCAGATTTATAAACTACTCTGAATAATTAACGAGTGTTAAATTTTGTCTGGAAGAGTTAGAAATGGCTGGTAGGACTGTGGCAGATTGGAATAATTATATGCAGAAGATATCATTTGTAAGTACTTTTATAAATTGTTTCTGGGGATAAATATTGAACTAAAGTTCAAATATGCATCTAATAACATGTATGATACAAAATAAACAGCTTTCTCTGATTTGAAATTACTATTTTTTTTCTTCTTAAAAAAACAGCTAAATCAAAAGGTGTTTGCAATAATACCAAAGTGCCAATTTCTTTTAGTGAGGGTCTGTAAAGGAAAGTGCATCAAATGACTATGCCTAATTTTGCAGATTTGTATACCTGAATTACGGAGGCAATAAGACTGTGAAAACAAATGATGCTTTTGAAGGAGTATCATTGGTGGAATAGAATATCATACAGACTGTGTGGAATAGAATATCATACAGACTCAGCCCAAGCTACAAATGAGACTCACATGTAAGTACACTAACACATTTGAGTAATTATTTCTAGCTATATAAATTACAATGCAATGAACACATTGATTTTGAATACATATATCCTTGTTTTTCATAAATTCTCTCCTGGATACCTTGCATTTTTTAAGTACAATTATAAAAGAAAATAATGCCAATATAATGGGAAAATGGAGAGACAAGAAAAAGGGATAAACAAAATGGAAATATTTAAGGAAGTAAAGAACTCTTGTAGAAATATGTAAAAATACCAGAAAAATAACTTTCAAAGTAATTTTCATACTCTTAAAAAAAGTATATAAATACACTATTAGTAAAAAAATCTTGCGGCAAGATTTTTTCTAAATTTATATTAGTTGTGTCAATACCTTCTGCACATATGCAATGAGATTAATAACACTACTGGCTATTAGTAAAAAATGTTAACACGGAAATTTCGGACAAACAGGTCTGCATTTGAAGCGGTAATTAATATTAATGTTCTTTAGCCCATTTTTTTTTCAACATGTTTTCGACTTTTGATCCTAGGAAAATGTTTACAAGTGTTATTTTTATCAGTTTATCTCTAATCTGTTTTAATAATCTTCAGCTGCTGATAAAAACAAGCTTGCTCATTTCATGGAATGTAAACAAACCACATGAGGTAAATGTAGGTTGAAACTCAGCACCTAAAATGTTTTGGACACATAAATGTTTTACAGTTACTAATCAAATAAATTTAAAGTTAATATAAAATACACTGAAGTTTATACTCCAATACAAAAAGAGGGAATTTATCTAAAATAAAATATTTCTAGAGATTCATAATCCATACTTGCTTTAAAATGAGAATATGAATACACACAGTGAAAATACTAAATAATTTCATAGTAAAATGAGTTTTAAGATCAATATTCTGATTATTAATATTCATCTCAAAATGGGTGCTTCTGGTCAGTATATACTTATTATCAACAATTAAAAAAATTACATTCCTTATAATTGCCCATATAGTTTAATATGATGTTATTTAAATTGCAAGAACAGATGCAGATACCTGAAGTAGATTGAGTTTTTGTAATATTTGCTGAATATTTTGCCCATGTTGGTATACCTTTCAGGGTCACATACTTTGACTTGCACTGATAATGGGTCCTTTTCTCATCCAGTCCCATACTTAGATATTTGGCTGAAAAAAAAAACATAAAATAAATCAATAAAGACTTTAAAGTGGCATACACATTCTTAAAAATTAAAACTTTGTGTGCAAGTTACTGTATAGAATAAAATTAAATAATTAGACAATTAAATTTAATTTTCAAGATACAAATTCCTCAACAAATTATAAAAAAAAAAAAAAAAAAAAAAAAAAAAAAAAAAAAAAACCACCCATCAAATCTAAAGAGCAAAGTTGGTTATATAACTACATGCTTTTAAAGGGGAAAAGGACTGTTTTTTTAAAGCCTATATATTTTTGATAAAACCAACTTCAAGCTAGGTTGACTTTGCCTAATATCAAATTTGGTATTCATATGTTCTCATTTGAGCCGTCCAGATGGTATAGTGGTTAGGGAAGCCTGACTGTGATACTGAAGGGCTCAGTTTTGAATCCCAGAGAAGGCATGGATGCAAAATTGTCTGTCTCTTCATAGAAGGTAATAGTGGCTGCCTATTAGGTGCCTCCACAATAAAAATGGCCACCACTTCTGGCCTTAGTAATACTGTGGAGAACTCTTTATTATTATTATTTGTCTGCTGCCCCGAGAGAGGGCGCTATCAGCTTTCTCCCTCTTCCTCTCTGGAGGAAAATTCGAACTGGTTACTCGGTTCCTGGCTGCCGTCGGTGAAGCACGCACTCACCTCTCTTTCCCTCCGTGATGTTATCGTGGCTGTAATATGACTTTCTTGATTTTTACTAATGCGGACTTGCGAACTGTAAAAATGCTCATCTTGTAACTACATGCAATGTGATTGTGTATAAATGAATATATGTTAAAATATATATCATCCTAGAATTAAATATAAATGTTAATATTACCGAGTCAGATTTTGTTAACATTCAATGTGCAATCAAAAATGGCATCCATTAACAACAGCCATAATACCAATGCTGTTATAGACTGCCTTCCATTGGGAATAAAATAAAATTAAATAAATAAATAAATAAATAAATAAATGTTCTCATTTGTATATCAAGAGGTAAAAGCTTTTTTAACAGTCAGAATTTTTAATTTTACTTAGATAATTGATGGTTAAAATTTAAGTAAGTAAAGATAAATGCCAAATTCTAAAAATTAACTAACAATATTCACTTCAAAATAATTTCCATGAATGATTTATCTTGATTCCTAACACATAAGCAACCAAAAGGGGGAAAAATCTATTACATATAAAGGCAAAATAAATGTTAAAAACTTACTAATTAACCATTTTAGATATATGGCCTTACATTTGCTTTGGTTAAGAACAAAATCTACACTATCAGTATATTATTGTTATATAAATTTATGAATATTATATAAACAGTGTAAATTTATGAAGTAAATAACTTTATCTCTACTTTCAAACACACAGTTTAGCTCCATATTTATGATGCAGAAAATGGTATGGAAAAGTAAAGAATTATCTACACTAGGTTACTTTTAACAGACATATCAAGGTTGCAGCTTCTCTCCCTGTTTTTGCTTACTGTCCTTACTAAAATAACTTCCTACTTTATTTGAGATTAAGTCCTCCTTTATTTGCATTTAATTGCCACACTAAATTGGAAGGCAGGTGATTCAGAAACTCGATTCTCTTCAGCAACAGACATTACTCTAAAGATTACTTTATAGTTTTCACTTTACAGTTGCTTTTTTTTTAAAGCAACTGTGAAGTGAAAGGCACAATCATTGAAATATACCTAACAAAGGGTACAGTTGGCAAAACTGATGACACCCAGATTGTAACAAAATGGTTATAAAAAATCCTGCTCAATTAAAAAAAAAGAATATAACTTTACATTAAAACAAAATAACTGAAATACAGGTATACCTAACAATGGCTGCAGCTGGCAAAACTGATGACACCCAGATTGTAATAAAATAGTTATCAAAACCTCATGCCCAAGTATAAAAAAAGAATATAATCTTGCATTAAAACAAAATGAATTGTGATCAAAAGAAAATAATTAATATGGCTCAACGAGCAGTAACTTAAAATTACAAACCAAAAATAAAAAAAAGTATTTTCTGGTAATTCACAATGGCAACACACAATGTTAAAAAGATATATATGCCAACCCAGATATGCGCTTAACCTCTCCTTCTCCAGACAGCTTATAAGGTATTTCGCCCACCTTCTTCGCATGCCTTCGTGGTGTGGTGGTCTGCACACCGGACGTGTATTCCAGGGGTCTGCGGTTTGATTCCCGGGAAAGGCATTTGCTAATTTTTCATCTTGCTTGCTTCCAAAAAAATCCTAATGTCTCTACAGGGGCACCCGAACTAAAAAGGGAGTTGGATGATGATTCTCCTCACCCAGGATTTGGCAATTGGGTCCCCTAAAAACCCCAATCACCCTTTAAAAGTATATAAGGTATTTCTCCCACCTTCTTCGCATGCCTTCGTGGTGTGGTGGTCTGCACATTTGGAGCGTATTCCAGAGGCCCACGGTTCGATTCCCGGCGAAGGCGTTTGCTAATTTTTCATCTTGCTTGCTTCCAAAAAAATCATAATGTCTCTACAAGCTTTCCACTTATCCAGGCAATTTTGTCTGTGTGGCTGTAGATTACGATCCCTAGGAGGGACTGTGAAGGCAGTGATGTCAAGTTTGTTCAGTTACCTGATATCCTTTTTAGTGAAAATATACAACTATGTAAGTGCAAAGAACAATAGTGAGGGGAAAAATACAAAAGTATTTCTTGAAAAAGGAAAGCATTTTATTTTCTTAATAAATGTAAAAAAATACACTGCAATGGATGCACTGTTGAAATTGGCATAAGATTAGTCAAACAAATGTTTTTCTCCAAAGTTGCCAATGAGCCAGCAGATTATTTTCAAAGTTGCTAATGAGCTGTCCCCCTTTTTGATGGGGAACCTTTCTGAATCAGAAAGTACCCAAAAGGCTACAGTTGAAAAAATAGCAAAACTAATACACCACCAATATAGCAAGCATGGTTTTATGCTGAACAGTCCAATGAATACTACAAATGTCATTCTATGTAGCATCACTTCAGTACGAGAACCAACTAATTACAAGTACCACTGTCACAAAATGCACCGAATGTAAGGAAGTAAATGCAGATTTGGTTTTTGGATTATTTGATTAAGGCAAATAACAACAAATACCTCAAAAACTGTAACATGAAACAAGTTCTTGCAGCAGTGAAAGATACTATTTGGTCATCTCAAAAGTTCTGCAGTTTTTTAAATCAAAGCATGCTTTCTTCTCATTACTTTGTAACTGCTGATATGCAGTGAGCTTGATTAAAGCCAATGTTTACAAATTTTTATGTTCACGTTACATAATTCTGGCATAATTTGTAAGAAAAAGGAATTCACAAGTTCATTTCTGACATGTTATGCTCTTTCAGAAAAAACAAAAAGGGGGCTTGTCAGACTGCTCATAAAATTTGTGCTGTATATGAGCAATATGCTGGTTCTTATGACATCAAAAATGAAGAAAATTTCAGCATGGAAATTTCTGCCTGGAAGATCATGCCCACTCTAAATGGTCATCCTCAGTAAACAAGGGCATATTAAAAGAAGCTATCACTGAAAATCCATATTACACAGTTCAGGAAATATCAGACATACAAAATATTCCACACAGTATAGTACACAGTTATTTGAAGACGACTTGGTACATAAGCCACTACGATGTATGGGTATTCCATTAACAGAGTAAAATATGCTAACTTGAGCCTTGCATGTGATTCTGTGCTGAAAAGAAATAACAAAGCAAAAAAGTTACAAGAAAAAGATGATGCAGTAAGCCAAAAGAACTTTTTTTTAGTAACATCAATAGGGACAAAAAGCAATGCTTTGTGTATGGTGGGACTACAAAGGAAATGCAGACTATGAATTGTTGCCACCATATCAGAAATACATGCACAAAAAATAATGTTCCCAGACATCAATTTTAAAAGCAGAAATCACAGCAAAACATCTAGAACTGATCTATCAAGGTGTGATCTTATAGCCTGACAATGCTTGGCCATACATTTGAATGAATATCAGACAAAGACTTACCGATTAAGGGTGGGATAATTTGTGTCCCATCCCATATTCAACAGACCTTATCCTCTCTTCAGGTCACTTCAACATTTTCTAAACGGTATGGAGTTCCACTTCTTTGGAGACTGTTAAACAGTGGCTCGATAAGTTTTTAAAAAATAAACATAGCATTTTCAAAAGTTTAAAATCCAGCTGGGAAAGAAACGGCAAAATGTTAAAAAACAAAATGGTCTCTATGTGATTCTATGAATTTTATTATGTTTCGGTAGTTTTCATTTGTATTTATCAAAAAAAGTTCCTGTCATTTTTGATGTCCCATTTGATACGAGGAAACAAAGTAACTCCCACACAGGAAACATGACGGAGGATTAATTTTACTATTGACCTGTATTAGACACATTGTGTACACACAGCAATAACAATCTGTCCAGCATTGAAGAGAAGTGAAGGTATTGCAAAAGTTTGTTCATGGTTGTTTGTTGTACGATTTTAAGACGAGCCGCTAAGTCATAAAAAATGCCAGGCCTTTGGAAAGGATGCCATGAATGTACTGCCAAGCAATGGTATTAGAAGTTCAGAGAGAGACATCTGAGCTTTTGTGATGAACCCTCTAGTGAAAAACCACAATTTTTGGATTGCGAGGCCTTGAAGAAAGCCATAGAGGAACACAGCAGACAAAGATGTGGTGAAATTGCGGAATGCTTCCAAGTTTCTAAGGAAACAATAAGATTTCACACGCACTGTATGGGTAAGGTGTATTCTGAGTACGGAAAATTGTGTGAGAGGCTGTTTGTTGCTGCTCTCTTGGCACTGTAACACACCTATATTTGGCACAGTACTCACGAGCGATGAAAAGTGGTTCCAGTACAAAATTCACAAGCATATCAGGTCAGTAAGTGATCCTGTGCATTGCACCTTAAGATTATCCCAGCACCAACTTAAGATTATTCTCTATGTCTGGAGACTAATCACCAAGTGGTGCATTATGAGCTTCAGACTACAAAATTACTGAAGACCTGTACCGGACCGACGATTCTGGATTAAAGATTTTGACTGTATAATAGTAAATAACTATCTAAGATTGATGTTTTAATTTAGATGAAAGGTTAATTTCATATAATAATTTTTTTATTATTATAATTTATATAAAAAAGGATGCAGCCTATTCTGCAATTTAGCCCAATTATTAAATGCACTGTTAGACAAATTAAAATGAAACATATATTAGAAAAATAAGCAAGTGCAATCAGTATGAACGTTAAAATAACTAATAAACAAAGTTCCACAACATTGCAGTTGTACACATCACTCGACAGCCATGGAGATCACGAATGAGCTAGCGTAGGGTTGCTTTTAGTCGCGAATATTTCTTCCCGCGCCAAAGGTACACCATCAAGCACGCGCAGTAAGCGAAATTCGCTTAACACTGTTCAACTCAATGTGCGGTCTGCCATTACGCATCCGGTAGTGATGCACCACCAGCCAGCGGCAAAACGGAGCACGCACAAAACATACGAGAACAGATTTGTTGTCTAAGCATTTGAAGAATCAGGTTGCTACCTACGACCACCGAATTCGCCGGGTTACCAACTTTGAACTGTTATCGCCAATTTTGGCGATGTTTACATTTAACGGATCCTCTGCGGAAGTGCTTCCAAATTTTGAAAATGAGCCATTAAGCAATCCAGAAATAATGATAGTCTATTTACAAATATTGCAGTTAAAATACTAGGTAAAGCAGATAAAGAAGCAGAATTCAATCGACTCCCTCCCCACACTAATACTGCATACATAAAATGAATTTACATTATATTACACATAAATTGAATTTGCTGTAACAACTAGTTAATTATTTTCTTTCTAGTAAATACCAACTATTGTTCTTCCCCATGTTTAAAAATGAGCCAAACGCACATCCATAAAACAACAAATGAAAACACGTTAACAGTTATCTGCAGCTAACAGTATCCTAACAATTATCTGCATATTGATTATTTAAGCATTATCATCTCACGGTTTTACTTTAATTTTCAGATGATCAGCCTTCAATAGAAAATAATAGCATATTCCCCAGAAACCATATATTACAATTAGCATGCCCTGTTTAAGTGCAAAAAGTTATAATAACGTTATTTTTTCAATATATGAGATAAAATTTATATACATAAATAGCTCAATTTAAGATAATGGTTAAACCTTTTGATTGAGAGAAATCCATATCGCTAAACGTGGAAAATAAATTTTGGTAAGGAAACTTGGTCAGAAACGGTGGGTTACAATAAAGATTACGCACTACACAAGCGAAATTACCAAAATTTAAATTATATGTATACAAGTCTGAAATAGTTTTAGCGTACAGTCGCAATGTTACACGCCGTACTACTCTCAACATTTAAGCTTTCAGTTTCAATTCTTGGGAAGTAAACATACATTGCATACGAGTTTAGGTGTTCCTAGTTGGTTTTAAATGGGAATCATTTTCAAAGTTTTCAATTCCATGCACTACCTAAAATTAGAGCTTTCTGTCTCTTCTAATTGTTCTTTTTAAATATGTGAAAAACTACAGATTTCAGAAATCTCTTTGAAATAAAATATTTTATTTAAGCAAAATAGTTTTCTTGAGACTTCGAAGTTTAACAGTGGCAGCATGACATTGTTTGTTTTCTTTACTGTAATGTGCTAAATTTAAACTTGCGATAACAAGGAGTGCAATAACTAGCAATACACTTGCTACTCGCATGGATAGATAATAGTCCGTTCTCTTTCAACGCCCGTTCACGGCTTTTATTAAGTAATTTACTTTGTTATTTTAAGAGGGAAATATTGACACACACACTGGCCAATGAATTAGAAACCTTTGAGATTTTCATCTGAATGCGTGCTAAGGATGAAGTGTGCAAATTTTTTTAAGACGTCGGTTACACGTGGTTAGAATGCTAGTATAATTAAGGTGTAGGAGTGCTTTTCACGATGAATGAAGTAAAATGGGAAAAACGACAGATCTTTCACCATTTAAAAAAAGGCTTATCGTTGGTGCCCATTTAACAGGGGCCTCGATTTCGAAGACAGCAAATCTCACTATGTTCTCAAAAGCAGCCATATCAAAGGTTTTCAAAAGTTGGACTCAGAACCCACAGTCCTTCTCTAAAAGATGTAACTGCGCCCATTTAGCAAGCGGCTCGATTTCAAAAACAGCAAATCTCACTGGGTTCTCAAAAGCAGCCATATCAAAGGTTTTCAAAAGTTTCTTCTCTAAAAGACGTAACTGCGGTTTAAGCACAGCTTTCCAAGAGAGTGATCGGCATCGTCTCCGATAAATCGTGCTGCAAAAGAGGGACTCTACTGTGCTTCAACTGACACATTTCATCAACCAAGGCTCTTCCCAATAGATTTCAGCTCACCTTAATTATACTAGCATGCACAGAGAATTGCAGAGGATAGGAATGCATAGTGGGGGGCCTTTGAGAAAACCACTTATTTCTGTCCGACATGCAAGAATTCGTTTGCAGTGGTGTTAGGGAAAAAGACATTGGACATCTGAGGATTGGAAAAGAGTAATGTGTTCTGATGAATCATGCAACACCTTATTTCGCACTGATGGATGACGTGGAATTTAGCGAGAACCTCATGAATCCATTTTGCCTTACTTGCACTGAGCAAGGGCCTGGTGGGAGTATCATGATATTGGGCATATTTTGCTGGCATGGAAGTGTTGTCCTGGTGTTCCTCAAGGTAAACAAACCAGGGCTTAATTTCTAAAAGTAGAAGTGCCGGAGCCCTATGGAAAACCGTCAGGAAAGAGGAACAAGAGTTAAAGAAATAAATAAGATGACTATTTAATTGATATTAATAATTAATATGTGTTAATTACTATTTAATTTATAATTACTATTTAATTAATTATTTATTAAAATAATTTAAGATCAAACTCATTAAATGATTAAAATTAAATAAAATGTAAAGAGATAGATTAAAATTTAAAAAGTGAGTTTTAATATAATCTTATTGCTAAAAATAAGATTTTCGAGATAAAAATTTTACTGAAATAATTTTTCAGATATATTAAAGAAATGCCGGAGCCTTCTTATTTAGGACTCCAGTGCGCTTCGCCTAGAATTAGAATATGTACCAGAAACTAAGAAGTACCAGAGCCGGGCTCCGGCGCAATTTAAGCTCTGAAACAAACAGCCATGAGATACCTAGATGTACTGGCAGATCAAGTGTATCCTGCAATATTGCATTTTTATTCTGATGGCAATGGATACTTCATGGATGATAATGCAACTATACATCATGCCAGAAGTGTTCAAAATAGGTTTGCTGAACATCAATCTGACTTCCAACACCTTGCCTAGCCACTGCATAGCCTGGACCTTAACCCAATAGAAAATGTGTGGGATATGGTGGAAAGACTTATCTGACGACACTCTCCTCTTCTAATTTACAAGATCTAAAAAGTTGCATAGCCAACGCATGGTATTCCCTGGATCTAAATGCACTCCAGAAACATGTAGACTCAATTCCCAAATGAATCGGAGCAGTTATACATGAAAAATGTGGTCCAATAAAATATTGATCTTGAGTTTCTAATTCATTGGCCAGTGTTTCTACTTTTCATGTGTTGCAGTGTAGTAAGGTATGCAGTGGTTTTTCAAAACAAGCAAAATTTGTATCAGGCATAAGTTGTTACTGTTTTTATTTAACTTTTTGCTTTTATTTGTTTAATATTTTTTGTACTTCTGTGCGATTTTTTAGCAAAGATCATATTTCTCATTTCTTCTGATGGATTTATAATGAATTTTTAATTAAATATTATTATAATGAATTTTATATAGCATATTTATAGGCTATATAAAATTCATTATAATAATATATATATTAGCACATATAATAATATATACATATAGGATTTATAATTAATTTTATATAGCATATTTCTCTCCTTAGCTTTTTGTCTCGAATAATCACGCAATCTTCTTCCTCGATTCGTTTAAAAAGTAAGCTTCTAAATTTTAAAATAGATTCACCCACGTAGTGGATGTCTTAGTCTTCTTATTGTGATTTGCTTGTGGATTCTGGATGCATGAGACATGATTGATAAATAGGGAAGAGTTTCAAGAAAGTGGGGATATCTAATGTTCTTGATGTTAGAAGATGGAGTGAGTGGTAGCGAAGACAATGGTGACTACATGTGAGCTGTAGCAGATGATGCAGACATTAGTTCCAGCAGCATTAAATGATTTGAGGCATAGGAAGTAGCAGAGCAGGCGAGATTTAGGATATAGGGAAGTAGAATTGAAGAAATTTTAGTAGACATTATAGTATAGTATTAATAATATATGTATATTCATAAAAGAATATAAATTTGTTTTAAATAAATAATATGATAGTTATTGGTAGTTTAATCCATGAAGTCATTTCACTTTTTATGTTCTTATTGTAACTGTATCCTTTGGAAATTGAATTATTTGCATAATTTTGCTTTCTCGCTATGTGTTATATTAAATATGTTATATATACTTGTATACATTAATAGTGCAATGTTATGTATCAATATTATTGTAATGTTGTATATAATTTTAAGATGAACATCCTAGAAGCAAACGGCCTACTAGTAGGCGAGTGGTAAATTCGCTGAACAATGGTACTTTGTGTTGAGTTTGATTCCAGAGAAATGGGTTGGCTCCATGGACATTTTCCAATCTGTAACGGTTGTTCGAGTCTGTTGTCTCTAAAAATTCCTTCACAAGGCATCCCTCCCATATGGCCATTGCATTCTTTCCACAGTGAAATAAACTAAACCAAATCTTAAAAACAATCTCATTTCTTGTACTGTAATGAGATTGCATAATATTTAGCAAGTAACTTGATAAATTTTCATATTATACTGTTTCTGTTGTATATCACTGTTAAAGTATGCATTGATTTATTTAATATGCTTTGATCTGAGTTTGTTTCAAACATGCATTTTAGAATTCTAAATGGCCTTTTTTGGGAGCTTCATAGGAAAAAACATAGAATTTCTTAATGATTGCAAAAAGAAAAAAATATTTCTGATTAAGGAGAAATCAATTTGAACATTAAAATAGCATAGAGGCTCGTGAAATTTATATAAACTTCACATTAGTCTGTTTCAGACTTTTTCTTCATAAAGGACTCTTGATAATAAATTTCACATCTTGAGGAACAATTCAGAAAAACTTATTCAGTATTCTAATGTAAAAGAGAAAACATATACAGTCAAAAGTCGTTAATTCGGACACCCATAATTCGGAATGATCTATAATCCGGACCTCTAAAAACTTCTGCCATGCGCACCCTTGAAACAACTTTTGCGCATGCGCACGTTCGCATACGCGTGCGCGTAAGACCTTTACGACTGCCGCATATGAGTGTGCGCAAGTGCAGAATACGTTTTCGCGTGCGCGTTTATGTATAATGGACGTATAAGCTAAAATTATCTAATTATCTATTTCAGTTAATGTTGATGATTGCGTGGTTCCTTAATTTTCGAATGGATCCGGCTTATTATTTTTTGCAGACTGTAAGAGCAATTTTATAAAAGTAAGCTTAAACTTTCGATTATATCAAATAGAATTTTCCGATATATATTGTAATATGTAAAGAAATCTAAAGCAAAAGTATGTTTTGAAATCCGAAATCTGTTTATCAATTTCAAGCTGCTCGGCGGGGGGATCGCCGCGGCGGGCGCGTAATGAATTGGAAGTTGATCTGTCAACTATCCTTATCTTCAGCGCAGATGTTTTATTTTTATTTGGCTTATAATTCCTTACCAAATGTAGTATTTCATCTCGATATGCTCCGTCTTTGATATGATTTAAAACAAGTTCCTCGTCATTATAATTCGCTTTCGATAGCGAAGAAAGTGACAAGAGGTTATTGAAAACGAAAAAATTTCGATTGACAAATTAATCGGTGTTCTAGGCACAGCAATTATAGGACTTGAACAGCGGAAACTTTGTAACTGAACAAGAAATTATGTCTGTTTAATAGAATTAAAGAGAAAGTATTATCACATGAAACGAAGCAAAACTTAAACAACTTACATTGAAAGAAATGTTTAATAAAGTAAACAAATAAATATTAAGCTTTTTCTTTTTGCAAATTTTGATACGCTTTAGATCATAATTGTTCTTTATTTCATAAATTACGGTTTCATATTTTTAATTTTAGAATTTCTGCATGCCATCTTACGAGATTTAAACTGATGATCTATAATCCGGAATCACTGAAGTCCCGACGAGTCCGGATTAACGACTTTTGACTGTATCAGTATGTTTTCTGTGAATTTAGTTCAGTTTCTTTCAATTTTTCCTTTTTAGATGCTTGTTACATTTTTCGCTTTCAGTTATAAGATGAGATGATTTTTTTTTGACTAGATAACCATTTTAAAAAAACACATTAGAATTTAGTGACTGCTGTTAAATTAAATACATATTTTAAGTTAATTGATAAGTATTATCTGTTTTTAATTTTCTGTTTATTGCAGCGTAATATCAGCAATAGGTTCTATTTTTGGAAAGCTATTACTCTTATTTTAATTATAGTTTCATAATATTTAATCAATGTTTCACTCATAAAAAACTTTATCTCAGTTCTCTTGTAAATTTATTTCGTTGTATGTATCTTGTAAATGCTATTATACTAATTTCATAGTAGGTTAATGTTACAAGTTGACTGAAATTAATGTAATTAATTAGCATCTATTAGTCAACAAATTCTTCTCTTCCATTCTTCTGCTGGTTCAGAATAGATCTGTAAATAATTTGG